GACCATAGATGGCATGAGTGCAGAGCACAACTGGTCTTCTGAAAGAATTATATAGCTTCTTGTATTCATCGGGGATGGCCTCAGGTGGAAGTTCCATCCAACATTTGCGCAAGGAGCAACGCTTGCACGTAAGCCTGTATAGCATCAGCGGTCTGACAACTATTTCCCTTTAAGCTACCGTAGAAATCTGCCCATCTAGAGGCCTCGAACGATGCCGGGGAACTCCCTAGATCCGAGAACACGGCGGCTTCATTAGACTGATCTGTCATCTGATTGCCTAAACATACCCCTCTGGCCTTGAACTTACGCCTAGGGTCGTCCTCATCCAAAATGCGATGCTTCTCAACCATGATGGTATGAGCCCTGGCGAAATGTATCTCTTCTCCGGATTCACGAGCTTCCCTGGCAACATCATCCTTCTCCCTCGTAGATTCGAATTCCCAGCACCTCTTGTTGAGCCCAGTCCATTCTTTCTTAACAGCTTCAATGGCTTTCGGGTTCGCAAGCATTTCCTTTCTCCCTACCGGTCTGGACACTAACGCCAGCCTCGAGAGAATCGCTTCCAGAATCTCTTCTTCTTCTTCTTTCGCGATCTTTTCATTGTGTTCCTGAACTGAGGCCTCGACACATGGCATTGCCGGAAATGTTCGAATCCCTGGGGCGGAACCCAGCAGGGAGTTGCGTCGTCTGGGAAGAACGAATCCCAATCTCTTCAGGATCCTTCTCGCCCCTTTCTTCGCTTGTCTGATTCCACATGGGGTGTAACAGGCAACGGTCAATCTTTCATCGCGCGACGGCTCCACGCAATGCCACTTTCTACCGTCAAATGTTACAGCTGTCTCGGATGCAAGTACCTTAGTAGGTCCATCCTTAGTGATTTTATCCGAGGGGATGCCCTTCTCGACATTCCCCTTTAACTTGTTAAGACCAATCACAGTACTCAAAGTACCTTTCAAGTTGGTAGTATCCCTGCGCATGCCTATTTCTAAGTTCTGACTGATGGAGAATGCACTGAACTCAAATCCGGGCTTCTCAGCTCTGATCACGGCGGTGACCAATCTGGATAACCATGGCCT